CAGGAGTACTTGTGGCACCTTAGAGACTAACAAATTTATTAGAGCATAAGCTTTCGTGGACTACAGCCCACTTCTTCGGATGCATATTCCCCCATGTTGCCACGGACTGCAATAAGAGCAGAAGCAGGTCCTTTAGAAGTGCCCATTGTTAACACCAGTCAATGCAAAGTCTTGTCTATGATGAAGAGGCTTTTGAGTTCCAGCTGACATAGGAAAAGGTCGCATCCACACCAGCTGTGGACCTGGCCCATTGACTTCAATGGAGAGACAGCAGTTTATCCTGCGGGCGGTCTGGCCCTGAAGGCTACCAATTACAAACTGTTTCATTAATTGTAGCTGGATTGAACCGCTGTCTTAGAACACAGAGACAACTCAGACTGGAAACCATCTAGATATTGAGATTATATCAAACTCAGGATTGTCTCAGAGTGATGGCTGTTCAATTTGAAGAGTTCATATCTGTGGTCCACATTTGTATCTCTGCTACACTAATGTAAGTCCACAGTAATTGAATTGAAATGACTGATTTAAATTGGGTTACTCTGGATTTACCCCAGAGTATGTGGGATCAATATATCACCCTCTAAAACTATTCCATTGAATTGCTTCAAACTTGACTTGATTTGTAGATCTGTTTCAGACGTAAACTCAAGTCAAGTTTGAATGTTATGGTTGTGAGTGCCTGACTTTGCAGCTCCAGATAATTGTCACAATTCATTGCAATCAGGTATTTAGATGTCTCTAATTAGTACATCTGCACATCAGATGGGTAGAAGTTCAAGTAGTTTTAACTGTGCCCTCCCTATGGTTTCGGCTAGTTGTGCGTGCATAATTGGTCCATCAAAACTGGGAGGCTATTTGAGGTCCTTTAAAAAATCAGGCCCAAGTAATTTTTAAAACAATATGTATATAACTTTTGTAAAACTAATATGTATAAGGACTGTAGTTCATAACAGAACTGTTTCAGTTCTGGTTCTTTCTATTATCATTTGTATTTGCCACCCTCTTTTTTAATATTTATGTAAGAAAATAATGTGTACTGGGAACATTTTGTTTGTCTTTTTCTAATTTTATCTATAGTGCTGTAAAATGATACAAAGCTTCATGAATAAAACTGACAAAACACAGCAAGAGGTTTTTCTCTGTCAAACTGTCAGTTATAGTGTCATCCACAGTTAAGCAAGGTAGGAAAGGAAATGAGAAAGAGAAGATAGAAAAAAGAACGAAATAGGGAGAAAACAAAGGAGAGCGGTAAATTCACCAAATTCCCTCTACTGTAGTTTTCCTCTCAGTGAACATTCTAGTCTTTTGTGGTAGTTTTTTGTTCAAATAATTTGCTGAGGCATGGCATATTTGCACAAACTTGTCTTCTTTCTAAGAGAGTAGCTGTGCTGATCCGTTGAGTCACAATGTTCCAGGCCTATGGGCCCATTCCAGCAGGGAGGGAGAGCCAGGCTTTTGCATCTCTTACAAATAATGGATTAAGTAGCCTGCAGCAAATGTTGGGTTGACATTCAGTTCTCCATGCCACAGTCCTAAGAGTTCAGACGTTCCAACTCCAAGCTTCAAAATTCATGAGATTGGCTTTAAAAACATATATTTTTAAATAGTTTTGATTTTCTTGCTGATGGTGGAGTCTTCAGGGCTCATTTTTTCAAGATTTTCTCTGCAAGCTAGAGGTTACAAACTTAACTTTAAAAAAAAAAGAAAACTGAGATACTCAGAATCATATGAATCCAGGAGCTGGGGCTTTAGAAAAAAATATTGTCAGCTTTCACATTGGGCTGGGTAAGAAAATCCCAGCCTAATCTGACATAGAGGAATCCAGGAAATCTTGCATATTCCGTTTATGCCTAAACTCTGCAAGGGACAGGATTCTATCTAGACAAAAATCAAATAATTAAACTCCATTCTGTTTTTCCTACCTCCTAAAGTTAGGAAGGACAAAGTAGTGCTGACCAAGTGAGTGTAAAGGGGGAAAATGATTGTTGACTTTAAATTTGCTACATACACATCTCCCTGAAGGAAGTGTCCCGGCTACAGCTGAGGGAGGGAGACAGGTGACACAGTCTTATGTTTTCCAGCCCAATATAGACAACTGGGCAACAGCCGCTGAGCCAGAACACAGCCAACAAGTCACTGCAGTTCTAATTAATTATTCCAGAGCAGACCTCGTTAAGGAGAGCTCTGCCTACATGGTGGGCTAAGGAGAACTGAGAAGCTAATTAGGCCATGAGGCAGATGGTACAAAAGGCCTAGGAAGGAAGTAGCCAGAGAGAGGGAGATTGTTCTTCCCTCCCTAGGGCTGTAGGTGTAAGGCTGTACAGTATACAAGGGTGTTGGGAACCAACCTCGTAAATAAACTGCACTGGGTGTTTCACCAGCGTAAGGTGTCTGAGCTGTTTGTGGACCTGAGCAGGGGCAGGAGCGAGTGGGCCCTGCCAGAGACCGATAGAAGTAGCAGGAAATTTTCCACAGACCTCGTTCCATTTGTACCTTAACTGGGCAGCGTGACTGTATGCTTTGAGATATGGCGAAGAGAGTCGCCCACCTGCAGGTGAGCTATACAACAATTTTAAGCTTAGCTGAATCTTTCCTGGGCCAGACACAACTAGTGATAAGTTACAAATCTGTGTGCTGGGACAGCAATGGGAAGCATCCAACAGCAGTAGCTACCTGATTTGGACCACAGACACATGATCAACCTCGCTAATTAGGAGCGATGCCTTGATATCTGCCACCCTATGAAATTACAAGTGCTTGTCATTAATCCGAAATTAGCAACTATTCAGTCCCTTTGTGTGCTGTTTTTCACACAAACAAACATTGTAGAAAAGATTTGTTAGTCTCTAAGGTGCCACAAGTACTCCTGTTCTTATTGTAGAAAAGAACATTATTCTGATGGCAAAGACCTCTAATGTTAGGAAATGTCACAATGAAGATCGCTGGGTGACCTTAATTCACACCCTTTGGGCGTATGCATTATGATGCAGTTGTTAATTACATAATTACACACTGTTTTTCCCCCACAGACTCCCTGCCTCACAGAGTGCATGGGATGGACCTGCTGTAGGGGTGGAGCAAGGTTGTGTATGTAGTGAAGGAGGCTGGGGTCTGTAGGACCCTCCCTCTATTGCAAAAGTCGGAAACTGTGGTGAATGAGTGGCTGGCAGGAAGAGCAAGGATGGGCTCATGCTTAAGTTAGTTGAATGCTGCCCTGAAGAACGGGATTCTGTCCCTGCCTCTGCCACAGTGTTCCCATGTGATACTGGGCAAGTCACTTAAACCAAACTTTTCATAGGTGGTCAGTAATTGTGATTTGCAGAAGTGCTGAGCACTCACAGCTGCCATTGAAATGAACAGTCAGAGCTGGGCTTCGAACATATGAAGTCCTATACAGTGCGAAGCCCTCTGAAGAATCAGGCCCTGGTTGTCTCAAATTGGGCATCCAAAATTAGTAGAAAGTTTTGACCTTAATCGGTCTGTGTCTCCGTTCCCCGCATGTAAAATGGGGAGAATACCAGCCCTGGCCTCCCAGGTACTGGGGGGTAAATTCCTTACTGTTTGTGAAGCGCTCAGGCACTGTAGCGATGAGTGCCACAGAAAAGCCCAGGAGGAAATGAATAATTCTGTCTTTGAAGCAGGGTTTGACAAGGGGGCAGTAAATAAGGCCAGGTGCCACCCCTTGAACAGTGAAGAGAAAACAAAACACTGAACAGCTGCTCATTAACTCAGCCCCATCCATTCTGAATCTGGCTTCTGCTGCATGTGTTCCGCTGTAGAGCACTGCCCAGTGCGTACTACTATCCCCTCACTGGAATTTGTGTCCCTCTAGTCAGACTGGAATCTGTAACAATGACATCTTGTTGGTCCATATTTATTCCCCCTCAGTGGCTCCATATCAAGTATGTTCAGTGTATAAGTCAAACCAGGATTTCTGTACCAGTTGGCAGGAACGGGAGAACCACACACGTATCGTGAAATCGCACCGTTTTTAACAGTAAAAGATTCCAGAATACGAATGTAGGTGGCAGCTTTGTAGGTGATGGAAGGGGTAGGAGAAAGCAGTGGCAGATAGCCACGGGGCCAATGGGGCCTGTGCCCAGGGGCCCTGGCCAATTGGGGGGCCCCCAGAAAAACGGGTATCCTTGTGCCCCGACCCGCTCCGCCTGCCTCCCAGCACTCCTGATGGGGAGTGGGTCAGGGTATGGAGGCTTTTCCTGCTCCCTGGCAGCCACACCGGGTGGGTGGGTGGAGCGGGACAAGCCCCCATGCGCCGACCCCTCTCCCTGGCAGGAGTGTGTGGGGGGCAGGGCAAGCCCCTACACCCCACCCTATGTCCCTGGCAGGAGCGCTGGGGTGGGACCTGGGCCCCCACACTTGCTGTGGCCCAGGGCCCCCCGAAACAGTAATCAGCCTTTGTTTTCAAGACATAACAGTGTGTGGAGCTGAGTAAATCCTTGTATTTGGGGCTCCTGCTCTCGATTAATACAAGAGGCAGGTGGGGGGGTTAGATTGTGCCAATGGCCCGGCACATTTACTGAATATTTTTTTTTCTTGGTGACTTTTCAGAGAATGTGAGTGCACAGCTCAGTTGTACTTTCTCTCCAGTTCTTAACAGGAGCTATGCCTGCGTTGTGTATTTATGTGCCCTTTTCTGTGGTGATCTGATCTCTGTGCTCATTTGTTTTCAGTTAATTTGCAAGGTAGACACGCAAATAGGTCTGGCTGCATCCATTCTCCAGACGCTGGTTTACCAGAGCTGCTGACGCTGTTGTGGCTGCCGTGTGGGGAGCAGGGCTTTGCCAGCCCATGGACCAACATGGTATTAAAAATGAAAAGCAGGTCAGCAGCGGAGGGACTAGCACCAAGGGGCTGGAGAGAGCTATAAATAGACGTTGCTTTTAATCCTGGAGGAGGGAGGAGAGGGGTGAGCTTTAATTCCCATTTCAGAAACATCTCTGATAACAGTCTCCTAAAGAAACCGTGTTTTTATTCAGGAATAAGGATCAAATTCCTCGCCTCCCTCCGTAACCAGCCGCTGCTCTGCCCCCGTGCCATGGCGACTCTAGCCACGCCGGCTATGAGCACTTGCTGTTCCAGCAGGATTAGTGTTGTGGTCCCCCCATGAGGCCATTGCTCGGTGCTCCTGTCACAGAGAGGCGTGGCCAACGCTCTGAGCAGGTTAGTGCTATGCACAGGCATCACAGGTAGGCCGTGCTACTACCGGTAGTTACTCCTTTTTCTTTTATCTAGTAGACAACACTCTAGTTGGCCTTGGGACAACCGAGTCGCTCCCCTAAACGGGCTCATACCCAGTCTGGAAAGGGATGTCTGCAGAGCGCTTGCTGGCGGTTTGCAAACCCGGTCGGGTCACACAGAGCTGGCTCTCCACATTGCCATGCTTAATCGCTCTAAAGGAAAGCTGTCTGCATTTTTACCTTCCCCTGTAAGCAGTGGGGGTAATTGTAGGGTGACCAGGTGTCCAGTTTTCAACCGGAACACCCGGTCCTAAAGGGACCCTGGTGGCTCCAGTCAGCACCGCTGACCGGGCTGTAAAAAGTCCAGTTGGCAGTGCTGTGGGGCTAAGGCAGGCTAGTCCCTACCTGTCCTGGCTCCGCGCTGTGCCTGGGAAGCGGCCAGCAGGTCCAGCTCCTAGGCGGGGCGGGGGCAGGCATGGGGCTCTGCGCACTCTCCCCGCCCCAAGCACCGGCTCTGCACTCTCATTGGCTAGGAACTGTGGCCTATCGGAGCTGGGGGGGGGGGGGGTTTGGTGCCTGTGGGTGAGAGCCCCCTCACGCAGATCTGCCTGCTGTGCCTCTGCCTAGGAGCCGGACCTGCTGCTGGCCGCTTCCGGGTGCAGCGCAGAGTCAGGACAGGCAGGAAGTCTGCCTTAGCCCCCATGCTGCGCCACTGACCTGGAGCCACCAGAAATAAGCCCACACCCCAACTCCAAACCCCAACCCCCTGCGCCAGCCCTGAGTGCCCCCAAACTCAGTGCCCCCTTCTGCATCCCAAAGCTCTTATCGCCAGCGCCACCCCAGAGCCTGCACCCCTGGCCCCTACCCCCTCCCACACCCCTGCCCCAGCCCAGAGCCCCCTCCCACACCCCTGCCCCAGCCCAGAGCC